TATATATATATATACTGTATCCTATATAATTACCAGAAATATTAAAAACGTGTATCTGTACTGCCGTTCATAAATTCGGAAACTTGCAATTTTCTCTCATCTTATAGAAATTTAAGTATCTTGATGAAATGAAATTGTACAAAAACTTTTTTAATGTATTTCAATTACAAAAAATGGAGCTTGAAATTGACATTTGAATTATGTCTATATATTATTCTTAAATTTCATAAAATTGATTTTTTTTTCAATTTTTGTTATTTTTTTAATTCCTCTACTTAAATGGGACGTCATCAAACAAAATTTAACAGACAAGCATTTTAAAATAAATTTTCTAAGCTTAAAAAATGCGTTCTGAGGAAAAAAATTGCTATGTACTTATTCTTGCTATACTTATATATTACTTTTTCTCAAAAATGAATTTTTTATTATGTAAAACTTTATTGTGTAAAAATTTAATTTTTATAAACATTCTTTAACTTCAAAACTAATTATAAGAGGTTTAGAGAAAAAATACGAAAGGGAAGAAACGCACATTTGTTATGTACGTGATTCATATAAACTTTTTCAAAGTTTTTTTAAAAACTTTTTTGATCATCGACATGTTTTATGTAATTAAGTCAAAATATTATACAATGAAAAATTTGATATCTTTACAAAAAATTATAACAATAATTTCTTTCAAATAGTGTCTTAAAGCTTAAAAGTTTACTTTAAAATGCTTATCTATTAAATTTTATCCGATGATATTCCATACAGAGGTACAACTTAGTACTAGTGTGCTCATTGCTCTAATGAAGTTAACGGCAAGATTCATGGAATGTTAGCATTAGCAACAAATCATTACATGACATAATTCGTAAACACTTTGATACCTCTATTTTTCTTTTTCAAAATGTATTTTTAAAAGTTTCTCTACGATTTCTTTTTATCGTAATATACTTAAGTCTTTTTGAAGTGTAAAAGAAATTGCGCGTTCTCAAATTCGAATGATAGTGTATGTTGTATATAAAATAGTAAAGTATTAGTATATAGAATGAGAAAAGAAAAATACTAAAAAGATAATGTTTTTGATTGAGTTAGAATGTAGTAGAATCGATTAGTGTAGAAATAGAAACTAGATTAGCGCTCCATGCAGCAGGCATGGGCAGCATAACAACGGCGCACTCAATTCTGGAACTCCCCCTTCCCCATTGTCCTCACGCCACAGCAGCCAGGACAGTTTGCACAAGAACAATTTCTCCAGCGTCGGGCTGCCTATTGGACAATTATCGACATCACATCTGCACATGCAATCAACCATCAGCTCCGCCACGGCGGCTGCGGTCGCAGCTGCGCAAAAAAAGAAAGGCATTAAGAGTAGCCTCGGTAGATTTTTCAGCAAAAAAGAAAAGGTGAACGATTTTTCCTTTTTTATTTTTCCTAATTTATTCCAAATTACAACTTTAAATACGGAAGTCTGTGAGGTTTCATGAAATGTTGTTTTCATAAAGATATCGAAATATATTGTCATTGTCTTTTTGAAAGTTAAATTTAGCAATGAATGTTTTAATGTTTTTTTTAAAAAGTTTTTAAGTAATTCAATTATGATATATAATTCAATTATGATATATAATATAAGATTCGTATTTGATATTTACTGTTTTAAAATTTTAAAACTTTTCTAGAAAACTTTTCAAAGATCTGTTTTTGTTGTGGGAGTATAAAAGTATTTTGTTTGAAATTAAGTTTCTAGATTAGTTTTTTTTGTTTTATTTTATAAAACGTTTCTTTAATATTTAACTGTTAATATTTTTTTCTTATTTATATAGATTATTCTTTTCCCATATTTCTTGGAAATAAACGAATGAAATTTTTATGCAGTGTGAAAACTTACTTACATTTTCTGCAAATTATTTTTGTGGAATAATTTTAAAAAATCTGATATTTGAAATAAATAACTTTTATTTTTTCATAATTGCATGAATAAGAAATAAAAGAAATAAAAGATTTAGATAATAATTAAATTTAATAATATGAAGCGACCATTAGATTGAAATGAATAAATCAAATTTTAAATAAGAATTCTATATATTCGGTCGTATAACAAATTTTAGTATTTTAGTATTTTCGTATAACAAACTTAAATATTTCTTGTGTGAATTTATATTGTACATTCTGATTCTGCATATCGCACGCCGAAATATTATATTTATATCGATTTAACAACCGCTTCATATCGATATGTAGATTAATTGTAAATATTGAATTACATTTTAAGATCAAATAATTACAATAATTGTATAATGTTATAGCGACAAATTCGTTGTTTAAGAAAAGAAAGATATTTGGTTTCATCTGATAAATGTACCAAATAAGAGAAACCATCCCAACCAAAAAAATGATTTTGACATTGGCATACGTTGTCAAGATCATGATCATGAGTGACTTCTAACAAGTTTTAGCTATTGTCCATTATTTATTAAAAAATTATTAACAAAAACATCTTATTTCTGCTATATAATATAATATTAACTCACCTATAATATTAAAAACTAATTTCTCTTGCTTACATAAGAACTTTTTACAAAAGCGAGAGGTTCCTATATATATTTACTGCCAGTGCTGAAAATCTATAGCGCACATAATGTATATACTGTTTAATTATAGTTTTAGCACTGACAGTGAATATCGGAACTAGGAAGGAAGACTAAGGAGACTCCATTTTCGTAAATAAAAGTGGACCGATTTTGCGTTTCGAATTAAGTTTCGATTCTCGACACTTGCAATGCTTGTGAACTTTGTAGCATAATGAGTACGCCGTAAGAAAAAGTGCCAAACTTATCCTATAAAGGCGATTTTATTTGCGATTAAGAAGTACTCGTTAAGAAGGTCAAAAGAGAAGATTAATTGTAGACAAAATCTTTACAGGGTGAAATTTTTTTTTACGACGCACTCATTATGCGCAGGACTACGAAGTTCACAAGCGCCGCGAGTGTCGAGAATCGAAACGCAAAATCGATGTTCTGAAGACTGGTTAGACTGAGTGGAGCCTCCTTAGTAGTAGAGCCTTCCTTCCTAGATCAGAACGCATGATTCATCTAATTATCCCCCCCCCCTCTCTTCTCCTCAGAGTTTCCAACTTTCCACGCGAAGCGAAATCTATTCCATCTCCCCTCCTGCTTCGGGGCGTACGATTTTACACCATAGTGGAAGTTACATGGTGTATGCAGTTCGGCCAAACTATGCCTACTTTTGCTCCGTCATCTATAGTGTGTATGAGTACACAACTTCCAACTGTGAAACATGAAACATGGAGCGATATTTATTGTCAGTTTTAATTTTAAAACCGTCTTAAATAATTTTACGATGCTAATACATCCTCGGTTAGATTTATGACATCTTAAGATTGTACTTAAAACAATCTTAAATGTAAGAATTGACTATGAATACCGACCTGGTTCGTGTCATGAAGTTGATACTGAATCTTTTCTTGTTTAACACACTTTATATTTCTCTTTCTATAAAAAAAGAATTTAAATGCATTATAAAATATGTCAAGTAAGGAAAGATTCAATACCAATCTCATGACGCGAAACAAGCCGGTATTCATAATCAATTCTTGCATTTAAGAATGTCCTAGGTACAGTTTTAAGATATCTGAATGATTTTGCAGCAGGGATGTTATATTTAATCCTCAATTACATGAATTGGACTTCGGTGAACATTTTAGTTGGCCCTTATTTTTGTTAATATTGCAGAGTTAAAATGAAGGGGTAAGAAAACTTAGATTCTTTTTCTGTCGATCGCCGCGATCGTTTCATTGTTGCCTTGACGCTAATTGTGATGTAATAAAAGTTTGGATTGGGTGACTTGGACTCATCAAATGTAAATTCATCAGATCTTTGCTGAAAATTCGTTTTTAGCATTTGCCTCTTTATTAATAGCATATTCAAATATATGTGTTGTCTCATAATTAAAATATATATTCATTGTTGAAAAAGCATTTTTGAAAGAGACGTCTTAGTGAAACGATTGCTCTATTTTCTTAGAATTATAAAATCGTGAGTAAATAATGTCGAAATTATTAAATACTTAATATAAAATATTTTCATTGCATTTTTTTCTTTTTCAAAGAAGAAAATATCCGACATATCTCGGATATCATTTTTCCGAGCATAAAAATGCCCTCACTTCGGTCGCGCAAATAATTATACTTTTTGAAATGAATGAATATAACATATTTTTTTTTCTTAAAAATAAGTTCACGTTTTTCTCTTTTTAAAACGTATTTTTATATAAAATTGAGATATCTCTCTGAAAAGATTTCTTGTAACAATCGAAAATAATTCTGTTATCATCAATGATAATTCGTACATCTAAAAAATTCAAGCTATTATCCCTAATTTCTAACATGAATTGCAGATATTCATGAAAGGAATTAAAAACATCTAACATGGCATGAAATTATCTGGAAGAACAGCAAGCAATATGTCTATATATCTGTAATAAAAAAGTAAACGGCACGACAATAATTGGAACGCTCTTTCTTCCAAATCTTCTAACACAATATTGGGGAGAATCAGTAACAATGGAGAGCCGAAAATTTATCGATAAAATTTCTTGTTGAAGGAAAAATAGATGGAGTTCCGGATCAAATTGATTGCAATTAGGAATTCATTTTCAGAAATTTAAATATTTTTAGAAATATTGTTTCATCTTTTTTCAATGCTTTCTTTCACTAATTCAGATGATGTTAGTGAGTAGAGAAACAACTATTTCGAACCTAATTTTAAATTGGCTTTACCAGACATGTTTCTCTAGGCCCATCAGGAAGAAATGTACTTCCTCCATCGCGTAATTGCTCGGCCTCTCGAAGGAGGGCCCGAGCTCTCGATTACACCATCTCGCCGCAATATTTCTCGCCTGTGCAGATAAATGCGTCTGAGTCAGTACACCAAAAATTGGAAGGAGACTATCCTAGGATGATCCTCTGGCAGAGAACGGTCGCCGCCTCATGGAAGACCGTTTTACACGCTCAAATAACTTATAGCTATATATATCAGCTATAATATATCAGCTGCCGCTGCAGCCGTGCTACATCTCTGCAAATTTTGTTATTTCTGGAGACTGTATGCGCTGTAGAACACTACCGAAAGCACAACACCGGCGTAAACTCGACGTCTATACTTCCCGAGTCGATATTAGCAATGAGTCTACTCAGAGCGGCGGCCATCTTCCACGTCTTTGGTAGAAGGCGGAAATGGTCCCTAAAGGTCGAGAATTTAGAGTAACACTCAGGTACTTTACACTTCCGTGGGAAGACCCGACGGAAAATTCAACGCCTTTCCCCCCCCGCCCCCCCTCCCCATCCGAAGAGATGTCTCTCCGGGATCATAAACGCCGCAACTTCGATCCTCTCGACTGAGACTTTGAATCCTAATCGCAATGAACCTGATCAAAAAGGTCACACTCAACTTCGCACGAACGAGAGCTTCAGCTCCTGAAAGGGGGGCGGAATGGATCCTCTAGTAATTAGCAAAAATATTATTGGCGTAGCACAGAGTGCTACAGCCGATCGGCAACGTAAATCTCAAAATCTGATCGTATTCGACATTCCACAGAGTCAGTCCAAGGACCGATCCCTGCGAAACTCCGCACAACACCTCCGAGCATTCATAGCGATCATAATGACCTACGTACGCTAATCTTCTCTTCAGACAAATAGTTGTTTACGATGTATCGGAGATACTCCGGAACTTCCTTTGCGATCAGAGCTTCGCGGATTACAGGCCACGGAAGGGAGTTAAAGACGCTGTGTCCAAAAACATAGCTAATACATTCCGCGAACTATTCTCGTGAACGCCAAACAGTATCGTAGAACAGTGTGTTCTGAATCCGTATTGATTATCGGACAAGCTGTAATATTTAAGTGATGCTGCAACCTATGACAAAGAATCTTTTCAAATAACTTCCTTGACTTAAGAAAGCATACGGACTTATGAAAAGGGGAGGAGATCAGGCTTATTCGGCTTCTTTAATATTGCGTCTTCTAGGTCCCCGGTAAGCGCCTCTCTCTAACGCAGGCAATAAAGAAACACCTCATCCATTATGCGATATCCGCAATTACCCGATCCACGATATCGTCGAATCCCTTTATCAGTATATTGATTTTTGTGCACATCTCGAGCACTTCACGTTCCGTCACCGATCCGGCGTCGTCCTCGATTTGAGAGCGCTCTGGCACCTTCTCCACAACTCGAAGAAATAGAAATACCTTCACAATTTCCCTGACCACAGGGAAATTGTCAAGAGAGCACCTCTACTATGGATAAAGAGCCTAGACGCAGTTTTTTATAACTATCTTGAAGGACATTCCCCAGAGATCCTCTTCCAGGGTATTCAGGAGACCCTT